AAAACCAAGAATACAGACCTCAAAATCTTTGAATGGTGATAGCAACACAGTTTGCCAAGTTGCTAGATACCAGAATAAAATAACTTCATTTTGTAAAGAAACTAGTTACATCTCTCTCTTAATTGAGATCTATGGGAACTATGGATCACTGGCAGGTATTTTCATTTAGGTTCCTAACCTCATACACTCAAAGATGGAAAATTTGTCACACATGCATCAGCAAGTTCAGTTTTTTCCCCATAAGATTATGCCATTTACACTCCTCTGTGCAATATATAAAGCTATCGGAGTAGTTTCACAGGCTATTCTGTTGTGAGTGACTAGTACACACTTCAAAGAGCCTTTTAGTTCTTCCTTGGTGAAGTAACTCCATATCAGAAAGTAAAGAAATAATGCATTCAATATGGTTTGTTCAATTTTCAGGTAGAGCAAAAAGACGTTAAAAGTACATGCCAGAAGGAACACTGTCGGATGTAGATCCTGAAAGCCTATAGGGCAAGGCACATGTTTTTTCAAAACTGTAACATATTTGCTTGTGTTGGTTATTGCTGTTCTAGTATTAGTTTGTGTCTTCTGTTAAGTCATGTGTAGAGCTATTTTATGGGACCATTGTTCCACGGACTGCCGTAAGTTAGGGACCAGTTTGGAGAAAAAAATTGATACTATGCAATTTTATAAGAGTATGAATCAAATATAACTTTTGGATCTAACAGAACTGAATTATTTACAGAAATGAATTAGCTTCAACTCTTTCCTCACAGCTCAGTTCATATCAATGGTGTGAGTTTTTTTCTTTAATTTGCCAAGAGTAAGAAGAATCAATGGAGAGTTGGTGATATCTGGATGTGCTTCACTGTAATTTCTGAAATCCAAAATCAAACCAGAAATCATAACTACTGTCTCTTTTTGCATAGAGTGAGGTCTTTAGCTGCTCTGTCTAAATGCAAGAGCAAAAATATAGGCAAACACATTGTGTGATAACATATGCGTGTGTAGTTTTAAGTTACATTAGAAACCTAACATACAAGTTAGGCATCATCAACAGAAAATCTTTCTGTCTCTTCTTCTTCCCCTTGCCTGCCCCTGTGCCTACTGGTGAATGTAAATTAGAAAGGATGTATAAAATAAATAACTTCAAAAATTCGCTGTTAAATATATAGTTCTACTAATCAATGGTGTGTAATCTCATTCAAGTCAATTATGCTATGTGGTGTGAATGCTTTCCAACCAAGTTCTGATGACAGTAGGTACTTTAATTTTCTGTGGCACTTCATGGTTTCTGCTTGTCATGATGGATGTACCATTTTGTCAATATTGAATCAAGAAACAATTAAACCTCATGAAAACATTCAGGATTCCATCCTCGGCTGGTAAAAATCAGCTCTAGTGGATGCAGTCAATCTGTGCTGATGCGCACCAGCTGCATATAGAACTGTGGAAGTTTAATCTAGTTCAAAGAGAGATGACAGAAGTTAACCAAATGTCCGTCATATCATACTGTATTTCATGCAATACATGTTGGTTTGTAATGAGGACTAGCGCGAAAGTAGTTAATGTGCATTTCATGTATTCTTACTAGAATTGGTGGTGGTTGTAGATGGAAAGTGATGTCAAAGCAAGAAAATAAGGTATTTTTATGCATAAATGCACATGGTGTCATACTTTAACTATTTTATTTATTTGTTTCAGGTAGCTAATCAGGTTGTTCAGGCTCTACTTACTCAAAAGGTAAGTTGTGGTTTGGATATTGTGGTATAACGTAAAGCTTGCAGATGTTCATTGTTCATTTGAGAGATGTATATTCTTATATAGTGTACATTTTTTTAAATTATGTTGACTCATTTAATTACCAAGGCTGCCACATGTCAGGCCCAAAGTCAAGTTTTTTGTAATCAAAGTGAATAAAAATCTGTGAGACTGTACATCTTTAAGGCTTGATCATATAGGACCCATATCCAATTTTTATTGTTTCCCTATATTGAGACAATAGCATCTGAAAATCTTTCCCCTAGATGGTGATTTTTCCATTCCCTATCCATAATAAGTTATGTTGCTCCCATAGTCCGTTCCTGTGGAACGTAAAACAAATACAGTACAGTGCATGTCAATAGTTGGCACGCTCACTCATGTTCAGTGGAAGGAAAGGCTTCCTGGTGTGGGCCTGTGCTTCCCTGAGTCAAACAGAGGGCTCCATGTGTAGAATGGGGATTCAACCTCTCTACATGGGGGATGGGGACTAGCAATAGAGAACATGTATTTTGACTTAAAAAACCTTTTCATGTCCTCGTGCTCCATTCTCCTAAGTAAGCCAGGGAAGTACTGCACCAGCAAAATTCTTGTAGGGTGATTGCAAACCTGGTAGAATGAAAAGATTCACTATGGCTCCTATAAAGATCTGTTGTGGATCAAGTCCTGTCTGAAGTTTCCGTTCACACTCCCAGTGGTTGGATATGAAGTATGATTGTTTCATATAGAACCTAGTGGGAGGACTAAAATTGAAAATTAGCTTGCTAATATGAAGAATTGATCCGGAAAAAAAGTAAGATGAAATTAAACACAGAGCAAAGCAAGGTAATACATATAAGCAGAAATGATCAGCTGCCCAGAGAGGGTAGGGAATAACTGGTAGGACAGTTCTACAAAAAGGTGGTCTTTGAGTTGAACATGATTCCATGATGTCATTTTGTTGGGGGGAGGGGGGTGGGCAAACAAAATATAAAGGTCTATAATAATAAGCTATGAATCCTTCAATATTCATGAAATGATCCTTTGTGAGATCTAGACCACTTGATGAATGTGGCATTATTAAAATGCTTTGGATCATTTAGCTTTAAAAAGACAAGTCTGATAGAGACATAAATACAGTCTTCTAGTGCAGATAGTGCAAAGAAGAATATAAACTGTTTTGTCTACACTGAATGACAGGACAAGAAATAATGTTCTTAAAATGCAGCAGAAGCCACAAAGTTAAGATAATCAAAAACCTCTGCCACAGGCCCAAAAGCTTTCTAGATGCAAATATAGCAAAGTACTGGAATAGATTTTGAGGACTGTCTCCAAAGTTTCCATTATGGACATCATTCAGAACAGCAGAACATCATTCAGAATGCCCCCTCCAAAGGGAGTGAGCAGGGACTAAGGGGGACAGCAGGGCGGGCAGGATGCTGAGCACCAAGTGTCAGGGTCAGACCTGGAGGCAAGGATCAGAGTCAGCCTCCGTTCTGTGTTCACTGGACAAGTCCATGGGGAGGAGGCAGGTCCGAGCAAAGACAAGCCAGGAGCTCAGAACGCAGCTCAGGATCAGGGAAGCAGGAGACTGGGTGCAGGTGTAGCTGCAAGGTGGCTGCTGTGTGGTTCAAACATGAACAAGATGACCTTGAACTCTGCCAACTAAACTCCTGAAAGTGGGGAGTGTGCCCTGGCAGCAGGATAGACAAACATCCACATCCATAACCATCTGCACCTAAGTGAATGGTAACTAGGTGCAGAAAGTTGCATTTGGCCATCTGCACATCAAGGAGAAGGCTGGATACCCTTTTCAGCTCCTTATTGGGCAGATTTTTTGTGAGTCAATTTTATGACATTCTGGATAGATTAAAAAATGCGCAGGGAGGTGTTCTGACCCCGTTAAGTCTGCTGTTGGATAGCCTGCCCTGGAGGCAGAGATCTCCAGGTGACCTGTAGGTGAGTGATGCAAGACTCTGGAGGGTGCAGTTGCCCATTACATAGATAACACATTTCTGTGGCCCAAGTTAGCATCAGAAATCCAGAAGTAATAACGTTCCCTAAATCTCTTCACCTGACAGCTGTGACCACAAAACAGCCATGCAACTGTTACCGCAAGTTAGGGTTGAAAGTATCATTGTTCAATCCCATGTTTTTTGGATGCACTACAAAGCCTTTTACTCTGGAAGAAGGATATTGCCTTACAGCAATTGGAAGTATTGTAGCTTGGAGGTGATTTGCGCAAACCACAACATATGGGGAAGCTTGCACTGTTGCTATCTGTGCCGTATTACTCTTCCTGTACTCTGTATACACATATGCTGTATGGTCTGTGTATCACCAGAGGACTGCAGTCTGCAGAGCTGTTGCGGTAACACCTTTTAGAAACATAACTTCAGCTATTTTGAAAAAAATGCCAAATCTGTGTTTCAATATAGCGTAAATGGAAATTTTTTCATTTTTTCATATTAATATACACAAAAACCTCATCCACGTTTTGTAATATAAAACCATATGTGATTAAATATTTACCAGACGGTTAATCTCAATATATTAATCTCTAGTTTGGGAATATTATGGTTGTTTCGCAGATGAAGAGAGGACCTTCCTGAGTCCCTTTGCAAAGGCGTCAGACATTTTGATGACTACATACTTTCTCAGTAATTAATCCTCCCAAACCCGTAGGAACCAAGGAGTTCATATGGATACAATAAAAACAGATTTGAATACGTTTAATAAAGTGATTTACTTAGTATTGATGGGATTTAACAGCTGCTTACCTATTACTGAGTAATAACAGCTAATTTAATATCCACAGAAAGAGGAAAGAGGGTACTCTTCTAAATGCTAATGAACATTAACTGTTACAGTGCTCCTGACACCAGTCATACAAGTCCTTTTATAAGAGAAGACAGGAACACAATAGCATACAATAAAGAGGAAATTGGACTCCTCACACTAGTCCCAAGTAGGTAGATATCAGAATCCAAATAGTAACTAGTAAACAGATAAATCTACCGTCGTGCAGCTAAGCAGTAAGACAGAGCCAGTCATGCCACAGTGAGATAACACACCTCTGGGGCATAGTGAGACATGAAGAAAAGCTGAGCACTTCCAGAAAATGGAGAAGAGTGATTTTGTACAGTAACACATACTGCGTAGGCTTTGCTGTGAATTTGAAATTGTCCCTCAAGGACTAATTTTCGTTTAAATTAAGTACATGCTGTAATGTAATGAATAAAGCACTGTGTACTCGCCAGTATGTGGAAAGACTGTGATTCCACCGAGAGATTCTAGTGACACAAATTGAGTGAGCAAAACTTGAGTGATTTATCAATGTCACTGAAACCTTGAAATGGAATTACAGTCTTAAATGTGCACTTTTCAAGTATATAATTTGTTACAATACATATAGAATTTCTCTAATATGAGAGGCTTTTTTTTACTGTGACTATGGAGAAACTATATTAAATTGAGATTTGTGCTGAATTAGCCACGCAGCAAAATTTCACAATTCTATGTAGCAAAATTATATGGGTTTTCTACCACTGACTATTAGAAAATTTTACCTCTGGGAAATTTAAGAAGTCAGGAAAACAACAAAATTATTTGAGACAAACCTGTATGCTCTGATAGTTACTGGAAGCATCCATTCTTTCTCCTTCCACACAAAGACTTCTCATATGATGATAGGACTGCTGGGAAGTGGATTTTTTTTCCTTTTTTTTTCCCATATAAGACCTGGATCAGCAGTTTGAAATTTGAGTTACACCACTTAATGAAATGGGTTTGTGATCTGTGTATCTGCTCTTTGCGTATTACTCTCCTCCACAGGAGTGTATTCAGGAGAATACCTTTTTATGCTGGGTTCTCTATGAAAGTTACTTCTTCATTTTCATCAATGAAATAAAAAAGTGAATTAAGTGTTAAAACAGAAGCAGCATCTTCAGAGGAAGAGCAGTGTGTTTCTGGAACCTCTGGTGGCGGCATTGAATCCCATTTTGGAGAAGAGTGAGTCTCATACTGAAGAGAAAGTCAGAATAGAGAGATGCGTAGATATTGCCATAGTGAGACCGTAGGAATACCCGAGATATTTGGGAGGTTACTATCTTAATAGCTGGTCTTTTTGCCCACAGGAGAGGAATTATATGCTTCAGACATGTGGTAGTTATATTAATTGGTAATTTTAGGACTTCAACTTTCTGAACTCAGACTTTATTTTACCAGAAAACTGGACGGATAATCTACTATCTACTATCTTATATCTATCTACTCTCTTATATTTCACTTTTTACAGAAAGTCTAAAGTTTGAAGCATAAATCTTACAGTTTTAAAACTGTAAGATGGGAAGGTTTTGAGCAGAGGCGTTGCTAAGATTTAAATTTTTTCTACCTTGTTAGTTTCTGTGAATCATTTTTCCCTTTCCAGTGCACTTAGTGGTATTGAAATGTTAAACACTGTTAACAGCTAAGGCTCTGTTTTAAATTATCTGATTATTTGTGAAAGGCAGATAATGATGGGTAAACACTGTTAACAGCTAAGGCTCTGTTTTAAATTATCTGATTATTTGTGAAAGGCAGATAATGATGGATCTTGATGCTTGCAGTTTCCTAATACAGCTTGCCTTGTGCAAGACCAGAGATAAGAGGTCTCACTGACAGAAATCAAAGTTTTAGGGCTTTACAAAACCTGAAACTCAAGATTTTTTGGAAATCATGTTGGAAGGCTCTGGCAATTTTACTCGGAACAGCCACTTGACAGCCACCTAAAACAAATATTAAGAAACTATCAAGAGAAAATAACTGCATTCATCTACTAGTATCATAAAATCTGATACATATTATATACATAAAAAGATGTTTACAACTTTCTGAAAGTCTCAAGATTAACTTATTTTATTGTGTATCACCTCTTATAACCTCAGTGCTGGTTACAGTGGAGACTAGGGCAACTGTAGGCAAGAATTTAAGCTACATCTGAATGCAATTTCCTCCTCTTGAGTTTTTTTCTCATAAAGCCAGGTCATCATGTTGATAATGGTATTGACAGGACAGCATATGGGGATCCAGAGGCCTGTTTCTCCACCTTCATATGGTGGAAAGTATTATCAGCTAGGCAATACCACAGGGCAGCAACTGTCCTAAATTTAAAGGAACATGGGAAAGTATTTTTGAGATTTACATTTTTTTTCTAAATAAAGCTAGATATGGCTGCAGCTTATTATTTTTATATGTAATCTTTATTAGGAGACTACCTGTCCTGATTTATGAAGCTCTCACACCTCAAAATGGACAACTGCACAAATTATGTTAAAGGGCTGAGTGTCAGATTCTGCTCTCTCTCCAAAATCCTCTTTCTAATAGAATCCTGTGTTGCTTCAAGTGGCCAGGAAAAGCAGGTCTTACATTGAAGATAGATAGATAGATAGATATTTGCTGTATCTGAAAGCCGTTAATGGCTTGTTCATGATGAACCTGACTCAGCCTTGGCTAAAAGACCTGCATCTTTCGGTTTTGACAGTAATGCCTTGTGCCTTAAGATGCAGAGGTTTTACACTCCACCTCTGCTTCTAATGGCCTATTTTAAGGCTTTTTGGTACCTCATGTTGAAAATCTCAGGCAGGATCATATTACCACGTGTCTGGTGTTCCAACGTCTTACTACGGCCTAGCCAGCTCTACAGTGGCAAGTTACAGTAGGGAAGATACAGACCATTCACAACATCCAGCCAGCAATGCTGACTTGGTTATTCCAGAAAAAGCAAGGAGGGGATCAGACTTCAGAAGAGTACCTTGAAGACACAGTACCACTTTGAACTTCTTCCTGGTTTGGTATAGCTTATGCTTTTTCTTTAGCTTAAGCTTATTACAATATTCATATCTTAATTGCTGCTTTCTGCTTTGCATCAGCTGCAAAATGAAACACATTGCTAGCAAAGTCACTTTTTATACTAACAGAAACTCCAAAAGGATGTGTCAGATTACTACTCTTTCTTATTACAGTATTTTTTCAATGTTATCGTGTGATGATCAAACAACCAGAGAAAATGAAGTAGCACGTTTTTCTGATTTGTACTATTTTAAAAGTTGTATACGTATTTCTTCCTAGTATCTGACATTACTTAGAGCTTTTTAAGTGCTTCTGTTACCTGCTTTCTAATCTTCCTATTTTCCCTTGTGCTGCAGGATCTGAGAGAGGAATGTATAAAGCTGAAAACGAGAGTTTTTGATTTGGAACAACAGAATCGAACATTAAGTGTGCTTTTCCAGCAGAAAGTCAAACCAGCTTCTGACCTTCTTCTTCAGGTAGGAAATGGCCTTTGCAGAAAGCAAGCTATGAGCTTTTTATTTCTTACAAATATAAAATATTTTTCTTCTTTTTAAGGTTATGTCAATAAGTGGGAAATGACAGTTGATAGATTTAATATATTAGAAGAATATCCGTTACGTGTAATCTGATACCGTTGAAACTGAAAGTGTAAGCCAATGAACTATGACTACACATTATGTGCAAATGTGGAGAGAGGAGCACACCTGCAGAGTAACTTACTTTTTTAGGTGCTTCTTCACTATGATAAATGGAATGATACGGGTTCATTATCCCTCTGCAGGGGAGAAGCTCAGATTCCTTAACATTCTGCTTGATGGTGAACAGTGTAATTTCCTGTGAGAAGACAGCCCATTTATTTAACTTTTGCCATATGTGTTACAAGGACTCAAGTTCATCTTCACAGGCTTAGAGTGATTTTTTTTTTCCCCCAATGTTTTATGGGAGGATATAGCTGAGAAACCAATTGACCCATCTCCCACTCCTTTGCTGTTCTGGAATAATAAGAGATGTTTCAGTATCCCTTTTCATTTGGCAAAGTCCATTACTGTGAATGAATCCAACGCTTTGTCATCCTTTTGTAGAAGTAGAATTGCTTTGCAGAAGTTCCAACAAATCTGACCGTGAGCTAGGAGAACAGTAAATGAGGACTAATGAAATACTTTGCAGGTTTCAAACAGTAGGGCAAATTCTGGTTTTAGCAATATGTGTTATTTCTTATTAGAGAAGAATTCATTCATTTTGGAGGAGAAATTTGGGTCATGTCAGCTAGGTGAGTGATATTAAATGTGTATCTTATTTAAATCCTCTGATGCTGTGCATCTGTATCTCAAAGTAAGGTCTGGCCCTCACACTGTTGCTCGACAACTGAGGGCTGCTAACTCTCGTCTGCAGGGTCTGCCCTCCAACTGGTGCTTAAAGACAGGGGAATCCCCACAGCGAGGGCAAATACCTATACTTATTTACTGTGAAACTCTAAAGCACAGGCGGAGTGGTGCCAGGTCACCATCACAGGGATCTCGGTTCTTGTGTTATTCTCAGGTTCTTGTTCTGTCCCTTGATTTTGTGTTGATTTAGGTATTGCTAGGTCAGGATCGTCTCTTCTGATTTCTTCTCCCTTGCCCCCTGCTTTCTTTCCTGTTTGTTCATCCTTCGTGGAGTCCTGTGTAGGACTGATTTATCTTTATCCATTCAGAGTTTCTGACACATCCACCACAGCATGGACCTTCATTGCTCACTTCTGCTTTTGACAGTCACTTCACCAGCTCCTTCTTCCTGGTTTGTTTTTTTCCTTTCTTTCTTTCTTTTTTCTGTTTCCAAAGTGCCTGACACTAGTCTATGTTACTACTGGGTTAAATTGCATAGAAGTCGTACATTGCACATTCTTTATTTCAGATGTTTCAGATTTCAGCTCTTCCCAATTCCTTGTGTGCCAACAATAAAGCCAGGTTATTCTCGGAATGTTATAGAAGTGTTAGATAGCATCTGAAAAGTGGGGTCAGTGCTTTGACTTGAGTTCCTTGGAACTGGATTGTGTCACAGCTGTGAAAGCAGTTGAAAGAAATGAACCTGCATCAAGTGGAAGAAAGAGCCAAATGATCCAGCAGGTTTTCCTGAGGGATTCAAACTATTTTAGATCATTGTTCGTGCACAGTTTGGCAGGAACTAATGTGTATAGATTTTTTTTCCCCCTTTTCACTTGCTTTGTCTTTATTGGCTGAGGAAGAAAGAGAATTAAGATCATTCACAAAGACTGAGTCTCACAGACAGCAGCAAAATTTGCTGTTATGTCCCTATTCTTGCTATCAACAGCTTTTAACCCCCCTGGGGAAAAAAAACAGAGAACAAGTTGCAGTGTACATCAGAAAATGAAGAACTTCTGTTAAAACACTTCATATATAATTTTTTACCCAAAAAAAAACCCAGTAAATTTGTGTTTACAGAAATTTATTTATCCTCTAACGGTACTCCAGACTTGAATAAATGGTGTGTCGTCTGTGATCTTGCAGTCTGAGATGTAAAATCTGAAGAATTGTGTTTCCTTAGGACTGAAATTAAGCAAATACTGTGGTGTGCCTGCATAGAATTGAAGCACAGTCCGGATTATGTCATCTTGGAAATGCATATATCCCAGATTTAGAGCAGTAGCTAAATATTTGTTTAAATCTGTCACTCTACAGAAGAGTACTAAATATGTGATTAAGGACATTCCTGTTAAATCATGACCCTTATCAAAGTGAATGGGCAAATACTGCTAACTGGGGGGGAGCGGGGCGAACTCGACACACGGTGTTAATTTCACCTTTCCTGTACCCTCTGATACAATACAGTTTCGTTTTATTTAGTGCTGATCTCATCCTAGGAGTATTCACACTCAGTAGAACTATGAATTTTGAAGAATGCTGCAGAAGAGGATATAAGCTAAAAATAAATAATATTAGTTACTTTTTCTGCATATCAGCTTCTGTGATTTCGTTGTATATTACCATCAAATTATTCTATAATTGACATTAGAAGACTCTTGTATTAAAGAGTAAGCTTATTTTTAAACCATAAACATTCTTGACATCTCAGATTTTAACAGAAATATAGATTTCTTTTTAAAAAAATTTAAAAAATTAGAACAGATTTCACCAAACCCTAGAGTTTTTGTATATTTGATTTTAAGCAAGTAATATGATTCATGTGTCTTCTTAGAAATCAGATAATTCACTTTTTTTTTCAATGAAAAGATTGTTACAAATGTTTTGAATTTGACGGCAGAGTAATGACCCGTATACCGTACTGATTGCACTGTGTTGTTTTCCCTCATGCTTCTCACATAGTTCAAAAGAAAAAATGATTGCTACCAATTTAAAAAAAAAAATTTCATGTAGTAGGGTTTTCATGACTGCTTCAGGGATCCTTCACTGTAAAAATATTATTATAACTATTACACTTTCATGCATGTACGAGAAGTCTAAGTACTTGTGAACTTGAAGGGCCTAATAATATTTTAAAAGAAATACATGTGTTTTCTTGTGGCATGTGATTGTGTATATTGCCATGTAAGTTCTTTACTACTAGAAATTTTGATGTGCTTACTGCTTGTAGGGAGCGACACAGAGGATATGTCACTCGTGTCATGAAAAGATTAAGTAATGCAGTCTCTGATGCAAAATGTAAGGAGGAGAAAGAGATAACTCAGATGCTTTTTTGTCACCTCTTTGATATTGTAGACAATTTTAAGAGCTGCCCTATCTTTCTGGGGACATTCTTTCTAGCTGAAGTGTGTGATTTACAGAGCCAGAATTAGGGTAGATAAATAAGGAGGAGCTTGATCACCTGGTGGTTTTTGGTTTTTATTTTATTTTATTCAGGCAATCTTCCCTCTGAAACAGCTTTCTTAAAATGACAAAGTCTTGGAAAAGTGCTTCTGTCTCAGCACCATCTGAGGAAGAGCAATAGTTTTAGTTAAAACCTAGCACAGAAGAATAGCTTCTGCCCAAGCAGCCTTCATTTTCCTCAGTTAATGTGGTTGCTAAAAAGAGATTAATTTCTGCCTGTCATAGCGAGAGGAGTTTGGGATAGAAAACCAGGAACTCCATTTTAATGAGCTGCCTTGTATTTCATCTGCAAGTGGGAGAAATAGTTGGGAATAATAGACAAAGATTTAAAATTGAGCAGAGCAAAACTGATTGGAAGTGAAAAGAGAAATCTGTGGAGGTGATACACAGAAGGTGGCTGAAGGGACAAGACAAATCCAAAGAGAGGATGCAAGAGTAGGAATAAGAAGCTTTACATGAAACTTAGCACTTCTGCTTCGCCCATGGCCATGTATAGCATCTATGAAATATTTTTAAATGTAAATGTCAGTATCAGTATTTCTGTCTTTGCCTTATTTTTTCTAAATGATGAAATGTTTTCTTCAGGGAAACTTTAAACTACTCAAATCACCAAACTACAGTGGTTTTTTTTGTTCTTAGCTATGACGTCTGACAGGCTTGTTTTGACTCTATTTGGTATAGCCTGCTCAGTCGTGAGACACAGATCTTTTCACAGATCTTTTTCTTCTAGTTAGCCCTCTTTTTCAACTCATACCTGAACATATAACTAATGACATTGAACCTGATTCTGATATTACATATCCTTCTTCTACAGCAGTGATGACTTGTATAAAGTTACTGAGGATAACAGCAGTCAAGGTTTGCCTTCTGATAGATATCGCTGTAATTTGTTTATTTTATGTATCTCAATTTACATAAATTCAGCATGTTTGTTAGCTGAATTGTTCCCATGGATGAAGTCTTGCTTTCACTTTTCACCCAAAGAGTTAGTGTCACAGTTTTTTAGAAAGCATGCAGGGAATCTTCAGTGAAAGGTGTTAAAAAGTGGCAAGTAGCAACATTTATTGAGTTGATATATTTGATTAAATAACTAATAAAATTTTCATAGTTGAGAAAGTATAAAATAATATTTCTAATTGTAAGATTTACAATATATCTGATCCTAAACTATATTTTCATTGCCATTTTATTTCCATCATAAAAATTCTACTTTATCAACCCCAGAACAAAGCAGGGAGGGCTCTTGAAGCATCTATTTTCTCCTTGTGTTTCTCTGACTAGATTAGTTCCATTTATTACTCATGGACCATCCACATTGTTTAATTTTATGTCTAATATTTTGCCTAGAATGCTGCAGCACAGTCTGCTGAATTCTCAGAAGGTTAATTTAAATAATAACTACTTTGTTATAACTGCATTGATATTAGCTCTTTTAATAACCTGACAACTATGCCCTGACATATGAGATAGAGTGTAGCTGTACATACTTAGATGGAAACAGTTGTACAACTTAGCAGGAAGGGGTAAATTGCACCAATGACATTATTATATATGGGAAGAAAAAGAGGGCAATTAATTGCCCTAACACCTGACAAAAGGAGATGGAATATCTGGCCTCAGAGTCTGACCTCTGGTTCAGACTTCGTTAGACA